TCAATACAATAATCCCATGGATCAAATGAATTATTAACAACTTCCAATTCATTTACGACTTTTAGTTTTTTTTGTTTATAATAAGTTGTTATTTTTGTAAACAATTTACAATTGTTTAATCACATTATAACATTATTTATCAATATTTATCGAATATAATCATAGTATTGATAATCCAATAAATTAAAATCATTTTTAATTGTTGATAACAATTTAAATTTTTTATAAACAATATACAATTGTTTACAATCATCTAAAGTTATCAAAAATCGTATTATATTGATATTAATCTAATTTTTTAACAATATAAATCATTCAATAATTAGAATTTATTTTAAATGTTTTTTTCATTCAACTTATTTTACAGTTTTTTTGTTATAAAAAAAACAATGACTGGTCCGAATTTGTTGAAACTCCTTTTAGATCTTATTCATCATATTATCTTTCGAATGAAATTTGTCTGGAGTCGATGTCTTTAGTGGTTCTCGAGATATCGAAGAAAAACCTGATATACGTACGTATAATTATACTTACGGACAATTGTACGTACGTACATACATCTATTTTTTTATTTTTCTATATGCTTTTAAATGTTTCAAAACGTAAAAAAAAGGATAAAATGAAGAATTTTAAAAATTAATTCCTTTACAATAATTTCTTAATAAGAAGTTAATAAATATGATCTAATTATTTATTCAAAAATAGTATATCAGCACTTGGATTTGAATCAGTGGTAATCAAAGTCTAATTACTTCAAAGGAAAAAGTTTTTAGCACATGATATCAAGTTGTGACAAATATTAAAGTTAGAAAATTTAATAAGTTCTGATGACATACTAGTAAAAAAAAAAAGTGTTCTGTTTAAAGTTTATTACGTAGATATTAAATATAAAAAAAATCTCATTACATTTTTTCTTTGATAAAATTAAATTCGTTTATGTGTGATATATAAAAAATTTACAAAATCTTCTTTCTTTCAAATTGATGGAGAAAATAGATGAAATTGATAAAAGAAAAACTTGATTCATTATTGAATATTTTTTATAACTGAAAAATACCATTAAAAACCTCAGTAGAAATAATTTCAAAAAAGCGGTCAAGTGCATCTCATTATTCATACACCAAGTACTTTCGTATACCTTCATTAAACGATGCAGTCACAGAAATAATAATGTGATAGGTTTTTTAATTAACTACAACCTTAGTTGAAGATTATCTTGGTTTTTATTGACTTTCATGTGGGTTATTACTGGCATAAAATAAGCTTTTGTTGTTTTTGAATATTTCAATAAGACTTATGATAATGAAGCTAAAAAAACTGACACATTTCTTCAATCTTTTTATATTATTCTAAAAGAATAAAAAGTGAAAATAAAAGTTATTTAATATTTTCATCAATTTTATTCGTCATTAAATAAGTTATTAGCAGTATCTAAAATGAAAGTGCTACATACTGAAAATGTTCCAATCAAAAGTATCTATATCGTATTTTATACAATATAATTAAAAAACTTCTTCTTTAACTTCAATGAAATTGCGTTCGAACTTTAAGGAAAGTTTTTTTTTCAGATTTTTTTATGGGTGTTTTCAGGAAGTTATAAACTGTTTCTATTTTGAATTCCAACTAAATCATTCTATAAGTTTCTGATATGTTTAACTTTACAAGTTTTTGGCGAACGGACAGACACATGAATGATTTTATAAATGTTTCCTTTTGTTCAGTCTAAGGAGAAAACATCAAGAATTTATTTCCCACTTCTTTTTAGGAGTCTTCTTTCTATTTTATATACTCAATTGCAAAATTGAGAGATCAATAAATACAATATAAAAAGTCTAGTGTTTCTCAGTCACTTTCTCACTCCCAGTGGTAAATTATTGTAGTCGATACGATTTTGTGAATTCAAATTTTGACATATCTCCACGTTTCAAAGTCTCTAGAGTTGGATACAACAATTTTCAAATGAATGTCACTGTCTGTGTCTGTTTGCATGTGCGTTTGGAATTATTTTTCGTCCCAATTATCTCGACGTGGGACCAATTGCATTCGATGCATAAATTATGCAACTTAAAACTGATTAGGTTTTCAGCAAAATCGGTCCAGCCATTTTGTGTTCAAATACAAAAAACTAAAGAAAAGAGGGGGGGAGGTAATAATACACTTTGACTGTTACCTGGTTTTTTGAACATAAAAAATCAACTTTTTTGGAATATTTTTTTCAAATCATTTGTTTCTGGGGTGGATTTATAAAAAAAAAGAATATTTTTAAAAAATTAATACTACTCACAGTTCTATGGCTTTAAATGCAAAAAAATTAGCTCTTCATATATAATCCTTCATAACTGTTGTTCACTTTGTTAAATGGAATTTTTATATTTTTTTTTTTCGTAATCTAAACAAAAGGAAACGAATTGAAATTGCAATTTTTAAATTGCACTATTTATTACTACAGAATTCAAGCATCTTTAGAGTAATATCATTATTATGGCGTGATAAGAACATTTGTATAAAAAATACAATGAGAATATCTTATAAAAAAAAAGTTTTAAAAAACAAAAACAGCAATAATTAATTGAATTCGATTGCATTAGTGACGCTACGAAAATAAAAAACATTATTGTTAATAATAATAATTAAACACTGTTAGTAACAAATAATTGTTGTTAATACTTATTTGGTATTGTTAATTACAGTAATACAGTAATAATAATGATAAATAGAAAATACAGCATTTTTATTCTTCCCACTGAGAAGCTACTATTCGACTTCAATTTTTCCTGGCTTATCTTTTTCCTAAACGTCTGATGTGTTTGAAAAAAAATCGGCAACTTTCTATCTTGACTCCTTTAATCGTTATTAACAATCAAAGTTGGATGTTTAAAAAACTTGCCCAAAAATCATCATTTTTTTCTCTTTTAACTCCTATAACTTGTGGAAGAAATTTTTTAGCACTACGAAATTTGGACACGATGTGTAGAATTGTATTCCCCACAAGTCAAAATCTCCTTTTTTACACCATCTTTTTTTTTTGTCCTAGCTATATCCTTTTAAAGTCAGAGGACTACACTTTTGAACTCGATAGTAGTCGTATGGACCTCGTAGGTCTTACCCAGGCCACTTTGTTCATATTTAATGCCTTTTGAATAGTTACTTCCATCAGGAATTATATTGCAGAATTTTTCCAGAAATAAATATTAAATATTCAATAAATACATTAATGATGAAATTCTTTGAGTAAACATTGAAAGAACCTGAAAAAGAAATAAATGAAAAAGCGTTGAAAAGGATCGTGGTGGAGTTGCAATTTATATCGAATTAATACCTCGATCGATTTAAAGTAGCTTTCGAACACAAGCACAAACGAGGCGTTGGGGAATTTAGAATAGATTTGGCCCCGAGGATATAAAGGATGAGACGAAAAAGAGAGAAAAAAAAGAAACGTCGTCTCCTCGGAGCTTATCGGTGCGGCTGGGAGTTGTCTGGGAAAGGGATCCTTGCGGATGAGGGTAGCAGGAGGGAGACCATAAGAGGGAGAGAGTGATTTCTGGTCAGAGGGGTGGAAGAACGACAAGGAAGTACAGAAGAGAGGCTTTACTTACCCTCTAAGATAGAGCTCTGCATCTACCACTGGCCCATCCTCCAAAAAGCTTTCCCTTCAACCCTCTCTGATTCTCTCGTGTCTTTCGAGGACCGCAAGAAGATCTGCAAAATGGAAGATGTTTGATAAGGTCCAACCTTGTCGGTTTAAGAGCGTTTTGCAATAAGCCCATACTACCTAAGTCTGTTTGAAGTCGATCCTTTTCGTGACAGAGTAGGCAACTTGCAATAACTCCGTTGCATTACTTACTTCCTAGGACATAATCTCAACCCTTTCGTGATTATTTCCAACCTTTTTTCTTGTATAGAAGGGAGACTGTGGTTATTATGTTTTTTTCAAGCTCTTTTTAAGACCAAGGGAGTAGATAATAATTAATGAGAGTGGAATATGAGATAGAGTAATTGTTGCTGTAGAAAATATTGAATAATGGAGATGAAAATAAAAACTCGTCATTAATTTTAAGGAGGTTGGTAAATTAAAATATTGTTAAAATGGCTTGAAGCAATTATTGACTTTGAGGTTTTTATTGTTCACAAAGATTCATTTTGTTTGAAAATAATTTAAATTTAACGAGAGACTTTTTTTTCAATCATAAATAATTTTTTTTTTTTTTTTATTTCAATTTGAATGTATATACTTTTTAATTAAATTCTGTACTCAACTAAAAATACATTTTACGTAGATGCAGTAATAAATAAAAAAATAATATGTTTAGATAAAATAATTTATTTACAAGTATTTTTTCATCAGTTTATCTTCCTATTCAAAATGAATTAATAACGATGAAAAATAACAGTGACAATGCGAATAATAATGATAATGAAGATCCACGTCAATTAAATTTTTAATTGTTAGTTTTATATAGCTTTTATGAGAATAACTGAAAGCTCGTTTCTCAACAGGATTTCATTTGAAATTTTTCTTCCGCAGAAAGGAATACAATTAACCCTCTGTCAAATAAATAGACTTTTTAAATATTGCAAATGTCGGGAGCTCTCATAATGTAAAGTACTCTCTTCGTGGTTATTTCCAGGCTGAATCTAAACTTATGAGACTTGGACGTCCAGTTTGTCCTCTTTCTCTTGGTTGGTCCTTATGATGGGGTGGGTTTATGTTCTGGAACGTTGCAAGGGAAGAAGGGCTATTGAGTGCGCTGGAGGGTGAATTCAGGAGATGTTTGAGGGTCTGGATGACCCCGTTTTTGGGGTGTTTGCTCGCACGCGGATGCCCATGTAATTTAAAGCCCGATTCTCCGGATATTTCGGAAGCTCTCGATCTTCGGGAAAGTGGTGAAGAATGTGCCCGGAAATGGTCTTTTCTCCTTCTAGCTTTTATTTTGATGGATATTTAATACATATAGATATATATTTTTTAACTATTATTTTTTTTGTTTTCTTCTTTACAGAACTACCAGATACTCATGGAAGACTGATAGAGGTTGCAACCAAGAGCATGGCTGGAATGACGATACTTCAAGTACTTTTAGCCGTACTTGGAAGTACACAAATCCTTCGCGCTGAACCTTCAGTTTCTCCAGCTGTTAAAAATGGTGGTGAGTTATTTATTTATTTATGCTTTCAGTGCTATTTAGTATCATGCTTAAGCAAACATGTTTTAAAAATTGGTAATTATATTGTTGAACTCTGTCATCCTTAATTTCAATGGGAACGATATACATTGCCTGATTTACTTATATTTAAAGCCGCAAGAGGGACGGCGAAGTGCGTTAAATGAGTGCAAGTACGAAAAGTAAGAAATAAGACTCAAGTGTGAAATAGCTTAAGTGGTAGAGTATCCTAGAGCATAACTAGGAAGCTCTGGGTTCGACTTTCAGTCTTGTCAAGTTGGCTGTTTGTTGAAAAATAGACCTGTCGTGGCAAACTGCTAGTAATATATAATTACCAAAAATTAAACGATATCAAAAAAAGCCATGAGTTAATTTTAAATGCCAAGGTGATTTTTGATATTAAATTTTATCTGAAGCGTTGTAAAAAGAAGACTAATTTTCTGTTAAGTAAAATATTTTATTAAAAATCAATATTTAAATATATTCTTCTTAATTATCGTTGCTTTTACGTCAGTATTACTTTGATTTAACGTGAATCCATTAATCATTAGAGCTTTTAAGTCACGTAAAATGAATAGCACGCGGCATTTCGTGTTCGTTCAGAGTGTTGATAATTACAGTAGTTGAACAGAGCTTTCGGTGATCATTCTAAGGTAGGAATATGTAAGTAAAGTGCGGCAGAGTAAAATGACGGGGTGGGAAAGACGACATTTGAATTGATGAGATGTCACGCGTAAAAAGGGATGAAAGTAAGAATGAGAGAGAAAGAGAGTTTCTGAAGAGTAGAAAGAGAAGGAGGGTTGAGAAAATGTCTCGGTGTTCCGCACTGTAATTGTACAGACTTGACGCTCACATCATCCGAGTCTTCAGGATGTTACTAGTTTGAATGAGAACAGAATAAGGCTGGAGGGTTGAACGAATACATCATCCCTTTAAGTGTGCGACAGAGTTGATGATGCGTTCCACTCAAGTATGTTGAAGAGTCCTAAACTTGCTGTCCCCGTTGAGAGATACAACGTTGGAGACCAGACGTTAATTAAGACTTGAGCAAAGCCTCCAGGGAATAAATGATGTAAATATTAAAATGTCTGACGTTTAACTGACTTTAGACACAATCGAAATTCAAATGACTATAATTTTCACTGAAGGAGTTGACATTTTCCTTTGAAAAATACGTCCTGACATTCTATGTTGTTCAATATAATTTGTTATTATGCTCTCATGACAGTAAAGACTTGCAAATATTTTTTAGCTTCAAATTAAAATTGTAATTGCTTTGTTAGAGATTAATATAATGTCAAAATAAATTTAATGTATCACAAGAATGATTCATGTTCAGATTCTTTTTATATAGAACAGAGCTAGGTCATGTTGTCTTCTTTCTTTGTACTGCAATCAATTCAATTTACTTTTATTATTTCCAATAAACCAGAAATGTTTCATTTTTAAAGTTATATTATTCGCTCACCAGCAAATACAGTGAAAATGAAAATTAATTTAATTACCGATCAAATATGAACTTTGTCTGAGGAAACCAGGACTGAATCAAATGAAATATGAATGAAAGTTATTTTAACGATGAATAGAACATCGACATCTATTATCCTTCTACAGCTAAAAATTGCCTTCCAGTATCATCGAGTATCTTTTTGTCTTTTTTTATTTCTCAATTCAACTGCAATCGATGACAAAGCTTGAGTCTCATTTACCAGACTCCAATATCGTTCTCATCTACCGATTTTTTCCCTTCTCGTCTCTGTATGCAATTTTGCTATTTTATTAAATTTCTGTAGTCAATAATTGTAATGAATTTTTTTCGAGTATGTAATCCATGATTGAATCATGTTACAAAACATTTATAATAGAATAAAAATAAAGTTTAATTGTGTAATGGATTTATTTTTAGAAGGAAACATTTTTTAGAACATTAAAATATATTATATATCTCTTATTTGCCTACAAGTTTATAAAATAATGCTCAAAATAATGGAATAAAATTTTTCCAACAATTATCCAATAATTGAACTGCATACTTATTTTTAATCTTATTATTTGCTGAAACTTTTCTCATTTATTAAATCTTCGTCTTAAATTATATCTCGCTCCAAGTTATGTATTTATTAATTTATATTAAGAAAAGAGGAGAATTATAAATCTGTAGGGGAATAAAACCTGTTATATTCTAAATAATATTATATTTAGTCCAGTGAGGATGCAATTCAATTACAAAATCGAATCTCCTATTTCGGGATTATGAAAAAATCATTCGCACGCAAAACAAGTGTTTTTGTTATTGTCTTTTTTTGTGAAAAAGAATTTTCGTCTGCCAAAGTCGGCACATTTTAATCAACAACTCCTTGAATATGTCGAAATCGATGATACTTCAGCAGACATTTTTTCTTCCTTACATTGTAACGAAGATTCCCGTCACCTTCATTTTCTTCCTTTTACTCTAATTTCGAGATATCTGATCTCAAAAAAATGAGAAATAGCGTGCTACCGATTTTACAGTTACCATCCGAGTTGTCGGTATTGTAGAATTCTTCTTAATCGACATTCCAATGATTTCTTAACTAATTTAAATAAATTCTGAATAAAAGTCTTTAATGAGCAATACACAACATAAATGTTGTCCGATTTTTGTTGTTTTTTTTGAGCAGATTCAGCTGAAATAATGAAGAAATTTTTCTGCGTAAACCGGCTTTGAAAATTCGGGGTAAAATGAAAATAATTCATAACTATACATGAAAATATGTATCAATAATGAATCGATTTATGAAATATAGAAACTTTTTTATTTCGGTAGAAATAATTTGAAATTGTAAATAAAAGTTGAAAACAAACAATAATTAACTATAGACATATCAACTGATAGCAACTTGGAGCAATTTTTAATACAAAATTTATGTAAACAAAAACAATCAATAAAACAATAGATATCCATACCGAAACAGGTGAGAGCGTGAATTCAATTACACAACCAATTTCAGTTGGGTGAATACGAAATTCGTTCAGAATTCACTCACGATAACGTGACGATTTACATTCAATCATCGTTCAACATTATAATTTAAATGAACAAAAAAAAGAAAAAAACATAACTAAAAATAATTATCTCATACCATATTTAGGGTTTGATAATTAAAAATTTAGAAAAATTAATTAGTTATTTTATTCTTTATCTAATTTTGCTTCAATTATTAAACTTTAAAAAGTTTTACAGAACTTTATAAAAAAATACCGGTCTGTAATTTAAACTTTATCTTACCAGAGAGCAATTGTTTAATGCAGATAAAAATTTTTTAACGACGAATTTGTTGTAAAAGTCACTAAAGAGAGTATTTGTACTAAATGTTTTCACTCGGAATCAATTATTATTATTGTTTAAAAAATGTTAAACTTTTGTAACATGCATTTTTCACCCTTTCATCGCTTACGTAGCGAGACTGGTGATAGATAGGAGGATAAGTAAAAATACTTTTTTTTTAGAAAATCGAATTTTCTACAGAAAAAAATCTGCGAGAGCACCTGTTTATCTGTAACAAGTAAAAAAATTTTATCCCCATCGAACAATTATTCTTTTGGTATTTTATTGGCTACTGGACTAAGTGGAAAGAATAAAAATACTCTATATTCTATTTATCATTATTATTATTACTGTTTTACTTCAATTAATAATATTATATAATTATTAACTAACAATATTTAATTATTATTAACAATAATTTTTCTTTTTTATCAATACTGACACATGTTTAGAATTTAATCAATTATTGCCATTTTTGTTTCTTAATACTATCTTTTGTGTAAGACTGAATATGTTTCTTATCATATTTTTGCACAAATTTTCCTAACATGCAATAATAATAATATCTCTCAAAAGATGTTCGAATTCTGCACAAAAATGGCTGGGCCGGTTGAAACCCTAATCAGTTTTAAGTTGCGTAATTATTTATCGAATGCAATTGGTCTCATGTCGAGATAATTGGGACGAAAGATAATCCCAAATTTGGGATTCACAAAATCCAACTCATTAAAATAATTCTCCACTTGGAAGTTAAAAAGAATGTTTCATTTCTTCAGATTCAAGCAATAAATTGATTAACTAACGAAACAGTTCTAGAAAAAGCAATACTGATTTACCTTATCGGCTCAGGAGGCTTTACTCTACCATATAAACGCCATAATTCACGTTCAACAGTTACGAACGGTTCAATCCTCAATTGGAAGCATTCCAAGGATGTACAGTAGTGGCGTAGGTGGAGAGAGAACATGTAAAGACCAGGAAAAGATGGAGGAGAGAAATTTTCTCCAAGAAATTAATTCAAAAACCACACAGTTTCCTTCATGCTACACCTGCATAATGTCATGCTACTAGATGTGCTCATATACCTTCTTTATTTCTCATTTTATATATATAACTTCTCTTTGACCTTTTACTTCCTTCTCAACTGTACCTTCGAGCTCTTTCTTTACACACATCTGTCACTTCTGTATTACAACGTTTTTATTATTAATAATTAAACATATTAAACTCAGTCTTCTGATATTCACTAATTGTTCACTTAATTAAACTTCTTGATGTTAAATTACCATGAGACGTTCCAATAAAATATTAAGAGTCAGATTTTCATTTTTCATGCACTAAGACGAAATGTTAGTGGTGAAAATGGATAAGGAGGTGAAGATTTTTAATTAAAACTCAACATTTTACTTATTCTCCTTCCTTTTAGGTTAATAGAAAATTTTAATTATTAATTATATCATGCTGGAGTAATATTGAAAATTATTATAATCTCTATCAATAAATTCACAAGTCAGAATATCAAACATACACACATTGTGATGTTTAATAAAAAAAAAAAAAATAACAAAAGTTTACATTCTAACAAAAACTCTAGAATAAAATTCAAAATCACTATTTCAGCAATATGAATTCAACTGCTAAACTCAATGGGGAGTTTTTTTTCTTTTTTGCAAAAACA